TTCTCATAGGATGTTGATGCCCTGATAATCTTTAAGCTACCCAGACTTAGCCGACAGAGACTTTCAACCTGGGGCTCCCACTACAAATCAGGAAGAGTTGTGGACCAAACCTTGCACACAAACACTGTTTTAAAAGTCTTTGAAAAAAGGGAATTTGAACAATGTAAGATTATCCATGTCATAGTAATCATTATAAAAAGGAATGAATCATGGTGGGTTACATGCTCAGAATATGGTGGGGTCTTTTCTCCTTAGTTTTAAATGTGGTATTAAATACATTTAAGCTTTTTCTAGTAGTTAGGATTTTGAGATGCAAAGAAAGATTAATATTTGTTCAGTGACAATTCTGTTCTAGGCAGAAGACCAACTCTTTCACTTATTTTACAGGTTGAGCATTCTTACTCCAAAATTCAAATCCAAAACTGTTTGAGCACTGACATGACACCACAAGTAGAAAACTCCTCGCCTTGTGCGACAGGTCAAAGTCAAAACACAAGTGCACTATACATCGTACAAAAGTCTTCATACTAAGTGTATAAGGCGTACATGAAGCACAAATAAATTTTATGTTTAGATTTGGTCACATTCCCAAGATATCTCATTACACGTGAAAATATTTCAGAATCTGAAAATATCTAAAATACCTCTGGTTCTGAGCACTTCGGATAAGGGATACTCAACCTGAATTTGATTCCAGATCACAACCTATCCATAAAAGCATCATTTGACCCATTTTATAGGCTATCCGATAAGTAGGCACTTGCTGAGCACTGTGGTAGATAACATGGGAATCTGAAAATTATCAACACTGACCATGATGATTTTAAAAGCCAAGTGAGAAGTCTGAGAACATGACATGGTGTTAGCATTATACACAGCCACAGACATGCTGCTAAATAATGTCATAAGCCCTTGGAGAACAGAACTGTTTAAGGTGGTGATACACACTAAATAAGTAAGAAAATAAGAAGCAGGGTTATTAGTATGCCCCAATCCTGGAGGAGGCAATAGAGCTTAAATTTGGCTTGCAGATGGAGGCTGGGAAATGGGAAGACTCCTGAGGAGAGGTGGCAGGCAGAGCAAATGGTCCCCTCCGGTCACACTACAGGGAGCAAGGAAGGAGGCCTCAGTCTTCTGTCAGTGAAAAAGAAAATTTGACCAAATTATATTTTTCTATTGTATGCATGTACAAAAAGGTAACAAGGTATCCCACTATTATGTATAATTATAATGCACCAACGAAAAAGAATTTTTTTTTTTTTTAAAGAACCTACAGGACTTGGAGACTAAGGGTCAGTAGAAAGTGTTCAATCATTGCTCTAAAGCTCCATACTGAGAAGAGTAAATTTGGGAAAATGATAGTTTGGGGAGGAAGGAGATAATGATGAGTTTGAGGTTCAAATGAAATATTCAAGTGGAAAATGTGTAGAGAATTGGAAAGAGTAGAGAACAGCCCTCTGAGAGGATGATCCTACAGAATAAACAGCCAAGAAGACAGAAATTAAGAGGGCAAAGAGTTGAGGAGAGGTGGACACCAGTTAAAGCAAACAAACAAAATTAGAGAAAATAAAGGGACATTTATGATTTCAGTTTAGTTTTAACTGAGAACATGTAGAAAAAATACCAATGGGTAAGGAGGCAAGAAAACAGAAGCAAAAGGGCCCTAAACTCTTCTGTCTAAAAAGGAATTTGCCTGAGGAGCCTGAATGGGAGATAGATTCTATCAAAAAAACATTTATAATGACAATACACTTACAGTCACAGTTAAGCAGTATATACTTGGCCCGATTTCAGAGAATGAGGAAAATTAAGAATACTTGAGGGTCAAGGTAGAGTAGTTTATTCCTTTCTGCTACCCACACCACTCCACCTCCTAAACTTGCTGGTTACCAGCACTGATGTCATCTTTTTGAACAGAAATGGGGAACAAAGTTGCAACAGCCTGGAGTAGTCATGAGATTTCCAGGTTTCCCATACACATTTCACAATTTAGAAGTTAACCAGAGCTTGTTGGCTTCTCTCATCAAGCATTCCTAGAAAATTTATCTGCTTTAAATCCACAGTTTCTGATCATTATCACTGTCACCAGTTTGGTCCTTATCCAGGTCTCCTGAGCTAAGCTGGGGACCTTCCACATAAGCTCCCACTGCCAGCTCCCCTCCTCTTCAGCATGGTGGCCTACACTTTCCAGTGCCATTAATCTCTGAGCGTGGGAGGCTGATTTTTCCCCATAACACCTGCCTGTTCACTATCCTTTTTTCTAACATTCTAGCACCTCTATGTTTTACTCCAAGCAGAGTATTTTAAAAATATTGTTTTCCTCTCCACTTTTTTTTTTTTTTTAAGAATGTTCATGTTTTACTAATCCTTGGACTTGATGCATTTTTTTTTGTATGGAACCAGGTGACTATTGTAAAGATTTTCCCAACTCTGTTAGATAACCCTTTAAAAGAGCCAAGCTTCTGGCCAGGGTTGTGGGGCTCAGTGGTAGAATGCTTGCCTAGCATGTATGAGGCACTGGGTTCAAGCCCCGGCACCACATAAAAATAAATAAAGGTATTATGTCCCCCCAAAATAAATAAATAAATAATAAATGAGCCAAAGCCTCTGGCAGAGCCAAATCATTAGTTTCATCATTGCCTCCCCCTGCGCCCAATTCAGCCTTATCAGGTCAATTTTAATTAAATTGTTGTTTTCTTAATTCTAAAATGTTTTTCTCTTTTTCAGAAGAATGAATTTACAATTATCTTTTCTGAGAAGTCTCTGATACCCACTTTTCTAAAATCCCTAATTACATCCAGTTGATTTTTGAAGCACTAGAATGAGTCACTTTCCCATAAGGTCTCATCACTTCCATGTCACCAGCTAGCTATTCTTTATTGGAAGCAATTAAGTCCAGAACAGGGATGCCCTCTTTTATTTTCTCTATATTCTAAGACACAAAATTGTCAGCAAGTCAAATCTGGTATTTATTAGATTCTGTGTTAAATGGGATGAAGCTTCTAGCAGATTCTAAGATAGTCTCCCCTATTATTCTATGTCTTGGCTCTGTACATGCATATTAAAAAAAAAACTATTATCAGAGTTTAGTATCCAACCCGGGACTTCTGCAAAAGCCTCCCTTTGCAGATGACAGGAGGGAGTGAGGGTGGCAAACAGTTATTGCTGATACTGACACTAGCAAAGAGAGTTAATATCTATACATGTGCAAAAAGATCATAGACATTGAAGAGACTAACAACAAAAAAGGAAGCAATATTCTAGAAAAAAATGATAAAATGTTCTACTATGCTTGGAATATAATGATTTGATAAAAAATTGCTGGCTCGATTTTTCAAGTACGTAGTTACTGTATATAAAACATCACATTACTGTGTTATTTTTATGGTTAGTTAACTGTCTCCTTGATGTCATCACTCACCTTACATAATTCAAAACCAGCTGAGAGACAATCAATTTTTTGAAATCCTCTCCCCTTTCTCTTATACCTCAGGAGTTTGAGAGTTAGTTAGCTTCATTCTTTTGTTTCTTAGGAAGTTACATTTTTAGTTCCTTAGACTTTATGGCGCTATAGCTACCTGTAATTATGCTGCAGAAGCATAAGAAGACGCCAGTGAAAGGCCAACAGCAGACAAGATAGCAAAAGGCCTATTTGTGGTCTTGAACAGCTGCAATAGGGCAGGGAGTGCTTGGCAGGGTTCCTGTTGCCTCTGGCTAGGCACAACAAAACCCAAAAGCTGGACTTGCTTTCAGAGCAGACCCCAGTGCAGGGCACTCACTCACTGCCCTGAAAGCCAAGGGCTGAAGCCCAAGTCCAAGAGGGATGATCAAAAAGGGGGACATAGGAAGGGAAGAGAGGGAAGGCTGAGAGTGATGGCTTTCTAGAAAGCTCTCCAGGACCTAAAGGGCCATCACCCTTTCTGTCTCAAAACAAAACAAAGCAAAACCACTATCACCTCCTTATAGAAGCCCAGATGTTACTTTTAGTTCCAGTTTGGAAATACTGCTCAAGTTATTTTTAAACTCCACCCAGCCCTACCCCCCCCCCAAAAAAAAAAAGGAAAGGAAAAGAAAAAGAAGAAAAGTAATGATCTGAATTGTACTCAGGACAGGACAGAAATGAGATGCTGTCAATATTTCAAAATGGGGATGTTTTGAAGGGAAAGATTCTCTGGTAATAGTCTTTATCTTCAATTATGTAAAATTTCTTTTGTAAAGGACCATTACTGTCTTAGGATAAATAAAAAAGTGCTGTTATCTGTGTAGGCATTTATTGCTCAATGTGATTTGATGCATTCAGTCTTTATACAATGATCTTTTGCACTATATGGTGCTTCTGGCTCCTTAGTTTAAATTAGTGCTTTCTTACTTAGTTGAGTTAATGTAATTGCAGCAAAGTAGCACATTTATATTCTATTCATCAACAACATTAGCATATAATGCAAATTTACTTTGGAAGTTTATGCACATGCACACATTTCTTCGTAAGATTAAGGAAATGGAAGTAAGTTCTTATTCCCAAAGAGACAGGGTGAACAACTGGGACACAGAACTACAGGTGCTCATGAAGAGTGACTAATGTTGTCCCAGCAGCAATTAAGAGTTTGACTCACATTGAGGATGAGCTTAGATGGTTAACTACCTTTCTCAGAAATAACAGCTGACAGACTGGCACCTAGAGGGGCTCTCATGAAAAAAATGAGCACTCCTAAAAAGAATCTAAGCATAAAATAGTTTAAAATTCATGTTTTATCTCTCATACACCCACAGAGTGAAATTCTAGTGAGAAAATGCTCCAATTTATTTTGTTACTTAGGCATTCTGCTGATGGTAATATCGAGCAAGTGTCCAAGGACTTAAAACTTGGAAACCCATTTCCTTGTTGCAAATCTGAGCATTTACAGATTTGTCCTATGAAATTCTGCAATGACACAATTATTATCATCTATAATAGAATCAAGGAAATATTTAGCAGCTAAAACAAGAGAAACTGTACTTACGGTTGACAGAGCTTCACCAGGTCCTGGTCGGTGGTGTTGGGGGGCAAGCCTCGGATGTAGAGGTTCGTTTTGCTTAGCTGATCCCATCCTGAGTTGCTACTGCTGCTACTGTTGTTATTACTGCTGGTGGTGCTGGGACTGGGAGGGGCCATGGGGTGCGCTGGGACCAGAGACTGCTGCAAAATAAAGGCCAGGAGTGTTCAGAGTGCTAAAGGTAAGGGATTCAAGCACCACTCTGAGGCTGTATGCACTCCAAAATAAAACCAAGGTATAAATACAGATTATCTTCAGTTACTTTGATGTTAAATTTTAATTTACATATTAAAGATCTCTTCATTCTACTGAAACCCACTTCTCTCCTTCAACATAAAATAACAGGGTTTTACTCAGATAATTCTTTATGTGCACCTTAAATGTGACTACATTTATATAAAATTAATTTATTCACATTTTAAGGACGACATCTTCTAAGATTCAAACATTAACTTGCATGATGTCACATGATAATATCTTAATACACAGTAATTTAGAAATCACTAGAATTTTGAAAAGGTTTTCAAATTCTGAAGAACATTTGATTAAAAATTGCTGATCATTTTGTTAAGAGGACTCGAAAAAAAATTGGTCTTCAAGTGTAAGGAAGCTCGAATTTAATCTAGATCCTCAAAAAAGGATGACTTTGCCTTGTAGGACAGGCACATGGCTTCATTGAGACATCTGGGTAGGAGTCACAGGCATGTTGTCTCTAGTTCTGGCCACCCTTGTGAAATTTAACCCCTGAGAGAATGGTGTATAGTTGGAAACCTTCTAGGGCCTCATAGACATCACTCCAACTTTTATAAAGTAAAATCTTAGTGTGATTTTACTATCAGCAGCCACCTAGGAAGAATGCCTGAAGCTGTACCCAAACCAGAAAATTCTTTGTGAACCAATAGGATGAAACCACATTTCTCCAACCCGATGCCACATGTGAATTTTGAGGAAGTTATTGGCTCAGCTTGAGATGGGAGCAAGCACAATGCAAAGTGTCCTCACAGCCACTGAACAGCAATTTTACACTAGAACAGGATTTTTTTTTCCACCTCACACCTTTTAAATAGGAAGCATACTAACCCAAGGGCATAATACATATTAATAGTTTGAATATATAAAATTAAAATTAATAGTTCAACAGAAATTTCAAACCTTGTAGCTTGGCTTTTTACTACCATAGACAAGAAAACTAGACATAGAAAAGGCAAATTCCATCCCACAAGGAAGAATTTGTAAAGCAGACCACTTGTAATAAACAGCCTTCATTTACCTCATTAATAACCTCAGCTACCTACTGCAGGGTCCTAGTTCTGTACCTACTTTCTGTCGTGATCAGCTTAATTCCATACTAACTCAATACACTGAGGTCTCAGTAATTTAGACATACAACCATTTCTTCTAGTCCTCTACTTTCCACATTCTTCTTCTCACTGCCTAAGGTCCTTGCTAAAGATATCATGGGTCCAAGCACTATTTAAGGAGATGATTGTCTTTTTAGAAGGAGAGTATCAAAAAGGGATTACAAATAGTCAATGTGTGTGTATGTCAGGCTGAACTTGAACTGGGAATATCAGTGTTGCTTAGTTCAGAAATAAAAGCAGCCTGAGAAGACACCTGAGCAATCTATTAAATTCACGCCTTTAATGAGCAGTTGAAATCATATGCTTTTCCCATATTGCTGTCCTTTCTCTAAGGGCTAAAGGCTCTGCTTTCCAGATAAAACTAAGGACTAAGCCCTGTCCCTTGCTTTGCCCTGGGTGGCACCTCAGGCCCCAAGGTTTGCCACAAAGGTCTGTGATTCTTCCCTGAAGTCACCAAATTGCTACCTGCATTTATATAACCCTTCCCATTTCTCACATCATTAAGGTGCTGGGAAGTAGCACCCACATGGGCCTTCCTGCCCTAGCCTCTGTCTAACAGAGAGAACTTGTAGCTATCGGCAGAACCTGAAAAGATGAATTTTCTCTCAAGTCTCCTTTGATTAGTTTCTGAGATCCTATCCCAGGGCACAAGACACACGGATATTCACAATTGAACCTAGGATGTTGGCTGCAGCTCTTGGCGGATGAAACAATCACTGGTATGAAGGGCTGGGAATGTAGCACAGTGGGAAAGCAATGGTCTCACATGTGCCAGAGCCTGTGTTAGATTCCCAGTACTGGAGGGAAAAATTACCTTGACACCAAGGAGAAGACCTGAAGAAGTTATTAAAGACTTTTTACTAAATCTCAAGAGAAGTTAAGTATGTGTCTTACTGTGCCTGACTTATTTCATTTAACAGGACGATCTCTAGACCCATCCATGTTGTTGGAAATGATAGGATTTCATTCTTTTTATAGCTGCCAGTACATGTAATACATTCTCTTTATCCTTTCATCAACTGATGTTGTTTGTTTCCATTTCCTAATCACTATGAATAGTCCTGCAACAAATATGGGAGTGCAGGTGTCTTTTTGACACCTGTGTTGATTTCATAGAGGTGTAGAGTGGAATGGTGGTTTCCACCAGATGGGGAGAGTGTGGGTGAGGAAGAGATGGAAAAGATTTATCAATGGGTACTGACTTATAATTAGATAGGGGCAAGAAGTTCTGATGTTCTGTTGCCCAGTAGGTTCTCTATTGATAACAATAATAAACTGTACAATTCAGAAACCTAGAAGAAAGTAATTTTGAAAGATTTTACCATAAAGGGTTGGTAAATACTTGAGAAAAATATATTTAACCTGATTAAAAACGTTGTTACATAACATGCGTATCAAAGCACCATGTTACCCCATTGATATGTACTACTTGCATGTTTTATGTATTGTTTAAAGCTAAATTTTATAATAATTGACCTGATGCAGAATTTTTAGAAAGAATTAATTCTCCCATGACTTTTTAAAGTTATAGCACATACATCTAAACATTAATTAGAGTTAGCATGTTAGGAAGGCTTATCTTAAAACAGTGAAGAATTAAGCCCTCACTCCTGCACTGAAATGCAAATACTGACAGGTCTTTACAACTTGAGAACTTGATAAATTTAAAGCAATTATACTTTGTAGTTGAACTCTGTGCTTTGAGAAAACAAATGGCAAACTTAAACCCAACAATTTCAAACTTTTTTTCATTGATGGGTGTTCTTTTATTTACTGACTCTCAAAATCCCTCAGCTGCACTGGGATTTGAAAAGACCCCTATGGATGAAGCTTAAACACATTCCATCAAATTAGGAAACCTGTGGCTAGATGGCCTTAGTTAAATGCTCATTCATCCCCAAAGAGCCTAGGAGTCCACCTCAGCCTTCTCCAGCCTAATTTCCTTGGTTTAGGTCAAGTAAGCAGGCTACATTTTTGTTTCTCAGGCAGGTAAAATTAACAAATTCAGTTTTCTTCGTTTATCTGGGCTTAATTTGCAAGCCAAACTGATAGAAAACAAAGTCAGTAAATAAATGTGAGTAAATGGATGACCCTTTGTATTCCCTGCTTGAGTGGTGTGACACTAGGAGGAAGAACATTTATTAGCACTCGGGAGGACTTCCTGTGTGAGGCAGTGCTCAGGGAGCACCTCCTATGTGGGGAGCAGTCAGGGAGGAAGGAATTGCATGTGGATAGCACATACAGAGCACTATCCATAGAGAGCACTGGTGCTTCCATCCTGCCAGAAAGTCTCCATAGTACCTGGCACCAAAAAAATAGGATCAACAGCGGGCACAAGGCAACTGTACACAGGGTAATTCTATTTCCCTCTCTATCATATAACCCCCCATCCAGTGCCACATGGACTAATCTCTTCTGTATAAATAAAGTCCTTTATAGGAAAAGCAAAATTAGCCACATGTAAACCAAAATAATATTAGTAATCAGGTACATTGTTGTAGACTTTTATTCAGCAAAGACAAAAAAACTGAAGACTTGTCATTTAAAACTCTATTGTGTCATTTCCTTCCTATTAAGGATAGGATTAAGAATAGGGCTGTAGGGGGCTGGGGTTATAGCTCAGTGGTAGAGCACTTGCCCAGCCTGTATGAGGCACTGGGTTCAATCCACAGCACCACATAAAAATAAAATAAAGGTATTATGTGTGGACATAACTTTAAAAAAAAAAAGAGAGATCAGTGCTCTAACCAATCTTATAGCTGAAACTTGTTCTCCTCTTCTTTCCTTATTCAGCAACCCAAAAATTCCAGTTACATTTTAAAGGGAGAGAAACCTACGTTCTGCCTTTTAATTTCCTTCAAGTCTTCTTTAAGGCTACCATTCTTACAGTTTCAGAAAGTTATAATCCCTACCTCTGTGGTCCCTGCAACACATACACACATATTACCACTGACACCACCACTGCCCCAAACAGCAGAGAAGGTTAACAGATCAACTATTTCTTTTATCTAGAATCAAAATAACCACTGCAGTTGCTCCTAAGAGCAGAGAGAAATATGGAACACTATCATGTTCACCAGGAAATAGTATAAGGTCAAGTCTGGAATGAACTGAACACAATGTAAAGACTATTGCACAGTACAGCAGCCTGGCTCTGCTCTAATTCCCACACCCAGGTTCATCTCCCTATGCTTTCACGATGCAAAATAAAAAAATAAATTAATGATTTCATGGAATTATCAAAAGAAGAATCACTCAAATGGGCCAACATAATCAGTCAGAATACTTTGTTTCTTTTACAAGGACAGGGAAAGAGAAATTCCTGTGCAAGGAACTGGAAAAACAAAATCAAGAGGTGAATGATGAATTGGTGAGAGCTGAGAAACTGGCCAGGAAGCCATTGCACTTCCTGGTAGGTCGGGGCATGAATGCCTGAGGGCCCAGAGCATCAAAGAGCAGGACCTGGTTACTGAAGAATGACAGCACATCTTTACACATAGTGTCTCACTTGTAGTGTGAAAGTGCGGGAAAGATCAATTAATTCTATTTGAAACAAGGATATTAAAGCTTAAATCACGTACTAATTAGTTCATGAAATGGGTTCTCAGACTTCCACTGTTCTTTATTTGGAAACAAACCTCACAGCCTCTCAAGATTATGAAACTAAGCAATAGACTATTAAATATTTTTGTTGGATTTAAGCCTGTCAAAAGAAAGGGATCCATGTTATATTAGCTATTCTAATAAAATCTAAAAATAAACATTTCCCAATGGGCTTCATA